AAAACACAAGTACTGATTTCGTGCAAATCGCATGTCCGTGAATTTTTTGGCAAATCTTATCACTCTAAAAGCCTAAAAATATTTTTAATCTATGAATATGTTGTTTATCTATTTCTGCCACATAGAATTAAAGTTGATCGTGTCGAATTACTAACTGAAAATAATATTTTAGTTGCTTAAATTTCATTACCTTCAGCGTCCTTTTTGTGACGAGTTAGGAAAAACATTTTTTAATAATTATACATCGAGGTTTTTGTTGCTTCTTATTACTTGAAGTACGTCAAGTATAGAATAAGGAATATAAACAATGAAGCATACGTTGTAATAATGTTAATATTTAAACACACTGTGATAAAAACAATTTGTCCGAAAAAATATTCCATTACCTTCAGCCTAGTTTGAAATATCAAAAATCATATTGTATATGCATCGTACCTGGATGGCGCATCTCCCTCCCGCCGATCACTTGCCAGCCAGTCGGCCAGCAATAACGAACGGGACAGGACGTGTGTAAATTTTGACGCTACTGCTAAAAAAGATCGGCAAGTACGTGCTTCAACCAGTTTTGATTTCATTACCTACAGCAGATTGTTCATGTAAGTAGTTATAGTTTTTTTATGGTTTTGGTCTGGAAGCATTTGTTATTTGTATATTCATATTTCTTATTATTATTAAGTACTTAAATCTATTAATTACCGAGCAAGATCAAAAACAGTTTTAAAAATTCATTACTCTCACTTTCATTACCATCAATTTCCTTCAGCTATGAAGGTGACGGTAATGAACTAAAAATGAGGGTAATTAATTTTACGTTTATTTATATTTGATATTATCTGTAGTCCTATAAATATGACATACAGAATTGATTGCACTTTTGAAATACCTACTTACAAAGATGATTGAAGTAACTAATGACATTTCAGGGCCTTAAAGCCACCTGTTATTTTAATAACTACTTATTTAGACCATTTTTTAGATACCTCATACCATTTCAAGAAAGAATTTCGTTTATATATTAAATGTCTTTTCACAACGTTTCCTTTTGTCTTGGGTATTTAACAGCGTTTTTACAAAAAAAATATCAAAAATACTATCTAAAACTGAAAGACTTAATGAAAAGTTTGACATTGTTGACATGCATTCAATATTTAAAGAAGGTATTTAGATGCTGTCGGTCAGTTTTAAAAAAAGTCTAATGAACAAGTTATAAAATTAATCTTTCGGCTGCGTTTGTGAGCACCTATTATCTTCTAATAGATTTAATAATTATTGTGATTTCTAACAAATATTATTTTTGTCAGGCACTAGTATGGCTAAAACGAAAACAAAAAAACTCGCGAAGAAAAAGCTGCTCAAGCAAGACTGCATAAAAGAAAAAAGTATGAGGAAATTAAAAACGATGCCGAAAAATACGCAATTCAGAAGGAAAAAGAAAGACAGAGATATTTGAGAAGAAAAGAACAAAACAAAATAAAATCTGTTGCTCAAATGACGCCAAGAGAAAGGAGACTACAAAGAAAAAAATGGAACGAAAACAGTAAGCGTTATTTAGAAAAGAAGAAAAAAGACAGAGTAATACAACAGATGCTGATTGACAATTCACCTCCAACAAGCGATAGAGAAGAAAATATAGATGCTGGGGAAGATCCATTAGAAGGGCCGTCAAACCAATTAGTAGAGGTGCCTAGCGTAAACTGCAAAAAGTGTGAGAAAAAAGATAAATTAATTAAAAGACTGCGCTATGGTTACAAGAAAGAGATAGGTAAACTGAGACAAGAGAAGGAAAAAGTTATTAAAGAAAAGTATGCAATGAGAAAAATTATGATTAGGCAAATAAAAAAACACAGAAAAATACAAGCTAAAGTACCATCAACTGTCGAGAAAGTGGATAATTTGATAAAATCAATAGACGAAGACAAGCGTGAGAAAGTAAAGAAAAAAATATTATTTGGAGAAATCATATCTAACAATTTAAGAGATGGATTTAAAGTTTTAGGCAAGAAAGAAAAACGAGAGTTTAGTGACATAGTCATGAAGGAAAAAGATCGTTTTAAAAAGCACAAGGTTTTAAGTAAAACGAAGAAGTTCACAGTGCGAGATAAAAATAAAATATGTCACAGCAATGAATCAAGCATGGATACAGAGTGTAAAATCAAACAAGACATAGAAAACTTTTTCGAAGACGACTGCAATACTAAAATATCTCCTGATAAAAAAGAATTTATAACACGAAATGGACTAAGAAAACAGAAGCGCTATTTATCAGATACATTAACTAACCTCCATAAAAAGTTCATGTACATCCAAAACAATAATATTGCATATTCTACGTTCTGTAAATATCGACCATTTTGGGTTCTCTATCCGAAAGAATCTGATCGTAACACATGTGCTTGTAAAACACACGTTAATTTTGATTTGTTGGTTAAAAGTCTTAACAAGAAAAAAATCACTACAGAGGCCAATGGGACTGCTATGTTGGAAAGTTTGTGCTGTGACATAAACAATGAAGAATGCTTGAATCGAACATGTGAAGTATGTGGAAACAAAGTAATTAACTATAGAGAATTTAGTAATGGAGAGAAAATAAACTATTATCAGTGGTGCGCAAAAAAAGTAAACCATCATGTAAACGGTCAAGAGAAAGTAAAAATTGTTACCGTAAAAACTCGATTACAGGATTATCCAATAAACGTTGTGAAAAAATTAGAAGATTCTCTGAATTCATACTTTAAGCATTGTACTAACATCGTTGTCCAGTACAAGAATATCAAATCTTTAAAAGCGACAATGACTACTAAGGAGGTTATGCTACACATAGATTTTTCAGAAAATTATTCCGTTAAGTTTAATGAGGAGATACAAAGCTATCATTTCGGCGGCAGTCGATTGCAAATAACATTGCACACTGCGGTAGCTTATTTAATTGATCCAGAAACTGGAATCACGAAGACATACAGCGTTTGCAGTATCAGCAAATGCAACAGACATGACGCCAGTGCCATATGGGCACATCTCATACCGCTACTAGCCTACGTAACAGAAATATCACCTCAGATTGACACAGTACATTTTGTATCTGACAGTCCTTCTAGCCAATATAGGAATCGCTACATTTTCTTCGTTATTAGTCAACTACAACAGGATTTTCCACAGTTAAAATTTGTGACCTGGAACTATTTCGAGGCTGGACACGGCAAAGGAGCGCCTGATGGTCTCGGTGCTGTCCTAAAGAGAACCGCAGATCAAATTGTACGGTTTGGTAATGATATTGGCACGATGGAAGACTTTTTTGAGCTTATTCAAGACAAGGTGAAGAATATCAAACTTCTTACTGTCTCAAAAGAAGATATTGAAGAGAGAAAATTTCCCTCATCGGTTCAAGGATTTCGTGGAACAATGTCTGTGCATCAAGTGCTTTGGTCATATAACAAGCTTCGAACAACATTCCGAAAACTAAGTTGTTTCTTGTGTGAAAATGGTGAAATATGTTCACACGGATACCATCTTGGATTTATGAACGTAACTTGTGTTTATAAAAATATCGATGCTGAACATCTACAAGATTTCGTAAATGAAAACACGTCGAACGATGTCCTTCGAGAATTGACAAATCCTCGAGCTCCTACTACTACTAATCAATTCCAGACTAGATTAACCGCTGAAGCTCCACAAAATATGATGGCTTCTTCAAGTAGATCCAAACATAATAACAAAATCACCATACTCTCTGATGTAAAAGTACATTGGACCAACACTACCTTTATTGGCACTGAAATGAAGAAAACAAGAAATGCAAATTTTCAACTTGATTTCGAAAAGTTTATTTCTAGAAATGTAGAAGAAGTAGCAAAAAATGAACAAGATAAAGAACAAAATAATCCTGATGATATTTCAGAAATTGATAATGTAAAAAATGTACACATAAAGGATAGAAAGGTGAAAAAAAGTATTTTAACTATTTGGATGAAAGTAGCAGTGGAGAAGAAATATATGAAGAGGACAGAATTCTAAAGAAAAACTCACGTATTTTTTCATTTTTTGATAATTCTGATGAAAGTATTTTTTAATTTACCAAGTCAAAGAATTGATATTTTGCGAATTAAGAGTTTAGTTTTTGTTGTTTGTCATACTTACATATTTTTTTATATTCATAAGAAAGATTATTTCATCTGTTCAGTTTGAAATCCTGTAATATCTTTTAGCGGTATAATATAGGGCTAGCTAGAACTTTAGTGATTTCGAATCAAATGCCAATAATATAACCAAAAAACAGTACAAATATATTTCATTAGTATCTATTTATAAAATTACTTTACTCTTTAATAACAATCATAACTATTAAGTAAAATGAGACTGATTAGAAACTAACTTATTTGATTTGTAATAAGTGACTGTTTTTTTTAAGTAAATAGTTTATTTCCTATAGTTGTTACATTTATGGAAAAAGATACCAAAGTTATTTTTTACTTTTAGGGTTTTATAATTGAAAGATTAAAGAAAATAATTGAATTTGAAGAATTTTGTGAAGTAGTTTATGTTTTGTTTTAATTGGAAGAATTCTATATTATGTTGTTTTTTTTTAATATAAAATGAATATTCACATAAATAAATTGATAGTAAAATGATTATGTAAAACTAATATATTTTATTTACATCGACATTACGAGCCATTTCGTTTAATTGCCTAGTCTCTGATTTCATTACCAGCAATTTTTTTTCATTACCTTTATCCCCAATTTCATTACCAACTGCACAGTTTTCATTACCATCATATGTATATATTTTAATTAGTCAATATCTATTCATTTAATGCGTATAATTTTGTATAAATCACATGCATATGTTAGATTCTTGATAAAGATTGTTATGAAAGTTGAAAAACAGGTATTTAAAATTTTCTCACAAATCTGTCAGATTTGCACCAAATGATAGAAATACCCAAATATCCAAAATTCTTCTGGACCCAAATGTCCTGAAGATGCGCAATCTCAATAGGTATGAACATAATTTTAGGACATATATCTCCTGTGGCAGGACCATCAACTCAAGAACTTGTTGATGAGCAACGAACTCCGATATCATTTGCTGCTATAGCAACAACACCTGCTATTGCATCATCTTCTAAACCAGGTCATAGAAAGCGAAAGCAACATGCTACTATATTAACTGCGACTCCTATGAAAATTAGTTTAGAGAATAAAGAAAAGAAAAAAATAGCGAAACACAATAAGGCTAGAAAAGATGATAAATCAAGACCAAAACCCGTTGTCGAAGGAAAGAAGAACAAACAAATGAAACAAAAATCGTACAAGAGAAAATTTTTACAAGAAAGTTCTTCAGAGACTGAAGATGAAGAGCACCTTTGCGACGATGACAGTGATGACGAAATGATTGTGGATAATGAAGATTATAATAATTGTATCATTTGCGAAGAATTTGGAAAAAATAACGAGTTATGGTATCGCTGCACCACCTGCGGTCTGTGGGCTCATGCTATATGTTCAGGGTGGGAGACGCCAGATGAATATGTATGTGATTTATGTATTCAAAAGTAAAATATTTGTATTTCTACTCTGGTGACCAATCATTATTTTATATTTTATTATGATAATTGAAGTTAATTTGCCAAAAAAACTTATCTATACTTAATTGTTAATTTACAAAAGGCTAATCTTACGTACAAATAGGTATAATTGATGCAAATTTGTAATTGTAGATTTTATTTTTACTTTTTATGGTTGATCTCATTATATTTATTTAATAAAAATATAATTTAATGTTACATTCCAAAAAAACATCTTTGAGCGTCATTCCCCGTACCCCGAGCGGTATTACCCAAAGTCAGGTGCAATGCCGCTCAATCATGTTTTATTTTTAATGTGTTCCTACTATTAATAAGTCAAAGATATATGCTTTTGTTGTTAAGTTGTTGATTACTTGATAGTTAAAGATTTTACTACTTTTCGTAATTTTGATTTAAGATAAATAATTAAAAAAATACTTAATGTTTTTCTTAAGTGAACATCCCATCCGATTATTCATTTAAAGTGATGAAGAAATTTTTTTAGTTTGGTATATCTGCACGCGTAGCATGACGAACTCGAGAACGTTTTGTCTACACTGAAATGTCACTTTTCTCGGAAGCGCCCCTACTATATCTCACTCTCGACCCGAGAAACTGACAACTGAGTGTAGACAAAGCGTTTCTCGAGTTTGTCATGCTACGTCAGTTTCTCGAGTCGAGAGTGAGATATAGTATGGGCGCACCCGAGAAAAGTGACATTTGAGTGTAGACAAAACGCTCTCGAGTTCGTCATGCTACGCGTGCTGGAATTGTATCGTATGTCACTTTGTAGAATAGGAAAACCATTAAAAACTGTAGTTTCGTTAGGTTTCGATCCGTTTTCGATTCGATTTATACAAAATTTATTTAGAAGAATTGGCCCCCAGGACTGCAGAAGCTCTTGTGTGCTCTTGACCATCACCCGTAGAATGTTTAATACAGCTCTGTGTAAAGGATCTGTTATCGTCTGTTGACTACTGGAAAATAAGTATAAAAGGTAAAAGTTTCTAAAATCTTGATATTTTTTGTTTAACAGTCGTAAAATGTTTGAAGATTTGACTTTGGTTTGCGACGGCCATTTGGCATCTGCCGCTGGGAGAAAATTCTCTAACGCTAGTGAAACAGTGAATAATATAAAATCGGTAAACACTTAAAAATTTTAATAGTATATAAAATACAGGCAGCTGTGCCTCAGTATAACACTAGCGCGTGTTACTAGTAAATTCAGGGGTCGGAAACCGGTATATTTTTCGAAACGTTTTCATCTTAAATACCTAAAAACACTTTGTTTCGGTTTCGTTCGAACAGAACGATATAAAAAACGATTTTGGAAAAAAACAGAATTATATTGTTTTCGGTTAATATATTGTTTTTAATCATTTATTTTGCGTTTTTTTGCATCGCATACTGTAAATAACGTAATAAAATAAATGTACGCCGCCCTTACAGCCCGCGCGGCACCGTCTTGCGGATTAAACCGGTTTTTTAAAGCGTTCTTATTTCGTTTTCGTTTCGAACGCAATCTTGCCCAAAGAACCATAAGAAACGTTTTAAAAACGTTATTTTGAATAACGTTTCCGAGCCCTGAGTAAATTATTATACAACCACACAATTATTCTGTTAACTTACTTTTATATTAAATATTTATTCATTACAGGTTTCGCCAAATATAACTGAAGTATTTTTTGGTTGCAAATGGAAAGATATACCAAAAGAAACATGTGAAAATCTCTTTGCACCTATATTGACCGAAGAAGGTCTCTGCTACACTTTCAACATGTTATCCGCTGAAGAATTATTTAGAGTAGAAAAGTAAGCAAATATTATTATTATTATTTTTTAATTATTATAAATATATTGTTAGCTCTTACTAATTTCATGTTAAGTACTAACAATTATTCCGTTTAAAAACATTAGACGATATGTTTTAACGACATTATCAATCTCTTCCAAAAACAGATTATTATGAAATATTTATCTTGCAGCATTAAGATGATGTACACACTAAGTTGTTTTTTTTTGTTTACAAAGTTGTCCCTCGGGCATTTGAGCAAACGATTTATTATATACGCGTAAATGCTAAATACAATTTTGCAACATTTTTAGCTTACATGATGACTATCCATATTTAGAACGAGGTCTATCTAGACCGGATAACTTGACTACCTTTTGGAATTTAGAAAATGGTTACCCACCCGAAGCTCCGATAGAGACATATCCTCATAGAGGTTCGGTAAGTTTGTTTTCAAATATTCATTAATGATTGAAAATTGTGTCATTGAAATTAACTACCATTGTAAAATAATTAAGCGATTACCTCAATCAGTTTGTTAAAAATATTTGCAACAAACCATAGACATTTTCTTTTTCACACAGTAATGTCTTTTGAACTTAATCATAAAGTTAAATAATAACTAACATATAAATTACGACATATGATTGGTTTTAAAGGCATTCATCTATTCATATTTTAAAGGCTAAATGAATGACATTTTTGTAATACTTAGATTATTTTTTGCTAGACAATTAATCCGTTAGTATAAAATACAACAACTTATATTTAATTCTAGGGATATGGTGCAAAAGCTGGATTAACGTTTCTTATGAAGACTAAAGAAATTGATCTAGATTACTTGTGTAAAGGTCCCGTTCAAGGTTTTAAGGTATAACAGGCATTCATTCCCTACTTTTTAACTTAGTTATATATAACTTTCGAATAAAATAGTCAAGTAACTTAGTCGTAAACATAATTATCCCAAACATAAAGTTAATGAACTTCACGTAGCTAAATATGCTTTATCTAATGAAAAATATAGTTTAACCAATCACTGTCTGAATAAACCCCGTGTCAGTACTTTTCTCTTTGAGCAACATATTTAATTTTTTAGCGCCGATCCACCATTATGGACACTGTTGGCATGCCCACAATTCTTAATTCACTAGTAGTAACTGGTAAAGTCTCACTTTCATGGTCTATTGAAATTTATAGGCTGATGATAAAAACGCTACGACTGACAAGACTAGTTTTGGCTACACTCTCGGTCAGCGTAGCTACCGCGGAAATATCGTTTTCATCTCTGCGTTCAAACCGTGGTTGCGCCTCGATGGCACAGAAGAAAATATCGGGGCTAGCTCTCTTAAACATACTTAGGATAGAGATATGCATCCGGACGAATTAATTTGTATCCCAAAAAAAGAATTAGCTTAAATTTGAAATTTAAGAATTGACCTCTTCTAAGTACATATATTAAACAGTATGATCCTGTTCATCAACATCGTCTAGGGATATTTTGTATAAAGTTCAAAAAATATTGGCCGGTTTTAAAATATTTTAAAGAAACCTTATTTTATAACGCCTTTTTTGATAATTACAAAAAAATAATGTCACACCAAAGATTTGCACGGCATAATTCAAGCGAAGTTAGAAGTTTTCAATTTACCTACCATAGTTTTTGAAGATTTTTTGTGTTAATCGAAAGTTTGAAGCAATTTAGCTGTTTAATTTGAATTTGTGCTAGTTTATGAATTATGCAGCGACGCCATTTAACAAGAGAGGAAATGTTAAGGGCAGTAGGCATGCTCCAAGCTGGGGCTACTCAACGGAGTATTGCTGAGGACATCGGAACAAAACAAAACGTGATATCACGGTTATGGTCACATTATCGTGCTACTGGTGAAGTGGCTGAGAGACACCTAGGCGGGAAGCGCATAACCACCCAACGACAAGACCGATTTTTGCAAATTGCTGCGAGAAGGCAACCAAATGTTACGGCCATGCAGTTGATTCAAAAGCTCCAGTCAGAGCACCAGTGCTTGTCATTGACCAAACTGTAAGGAAAAGACTGCATGAAGCTAATCTTCATGCTCGCAATCCTCTTCGTACTCCTGCACTACGCCGAGGAAGAAGATTACAGTGGGCTCGTGAACATCGTGAACGTCTGTAGTGCTGTTTACCGATGAGTCCCGATTCGATTTCCTTCCAGATACGAAGAGTACTCGTCTGGCGAATTCCTGGTCGTGAGAGCCGCCTGCAACACCCTCAGGAAGGCCACCCATACCATGGCGGGACGATTATGGTTTGGGCTGGAATTCGTGTTAGTGGAAGAACAGACCTCGTTTGGATCAGAAACACCATGACCACTGAAAAATACCTCAACCAAGTGCTAGTACCAATAGTCTACCCACATCGACTTCAAATGGGTCAAGAATTCACGCTCATGCACGACAATGCTCGTCCCCACACAGCGCGAGTGGTCACCAGCTGGCTGCATAAGCACGATGTCTTAGACTGGCCCGCGAGATCACCAGACCTAAACCCCATAGAACACGCGTGGGACATGCTCCAAAGAAAAGTTTTGAGGAATTTACCTACAAACACTGTCACTGAAAAGAGCAACTATTTTTGCATCTTTCCAGGACCTGGAATAATATCCCACAGCAAGACTTTGATAAGTTGATTCGAAGCATGAAAAATCGTTGCAGGACCGTTGTTAACGTCATGGGTGGTTTTATTGCCTATTAATTTTTTTCACTTTTTCTTGAAAAACACATTTCTCGTTATTTTTACCATTATTCTACTTTTCGTCTTTACTTAAATAGTTAATTTTTAGGTACAAAAAAATATTTATGTTTGATTCTATAATCTACGCTAATAAATGGGATTTATAAAAATATAAACATGTTGTATGTTATTCAGAAAAAAAAACTGAGAAAATTAGGAATAATTAAAATATCCCTAGACGATGTTGATGTGTGTACTTGCACTTGACTGATTTTTGGGTGGCTGTGCCCACGACTTTTTTTGAAGGCTGCATCCGCGCCTGGTTTGAGTTGCGTTATAACAGTACAGTGTCGGATGACGCTATCTGTGCCCTTAATGTTCATATATCCGTTTGTTTGAATATATACTACTTACAACATTTCTTCAGTTTCTGCTCCACAATCCAGCAGAATTACCTAGACTATCTCAACAATATTTTCGTTCACCTTTGTCTCAAGAAGTTGTTGTCGCTGTGAAATCTAAAATGTTGACTACTTCAGATGGTCTCAAGTCATATTCACCCGACAGGTAAATATTTGGTACTTATAAATCGTTATCAGAATACACTGTGTACATCCTATTGGATACCGCTGACTTTTATTTTGTATGGCGTCTGACAGAGCTGTCTTAAGTATTTGACTCTTAAAAATTTCAGACGCCAATGCTATTTTCCAAGTGAACGCTACCTTAAATATTTCAAAATTTACACCCAATCTAATTGCGAAATGGAATGTCTCACAAACTTCACTTACGCCAGATGTGGCTGCGTACACTTCGGTATGCCGCGTAAGTAGTTGTTTATACACTGACTCTATCAATTAATGCTAAGTCACATTTTCTTTACCTATTTCTGTAGTTACGTACACTTTCAAATTTTAGTTTAAATATTTTCTACAAATATTCCTTCACATGGTTACTTATTAGGTTATCGACTTCGATTGTTACCGAAACAATACAATTCGGCTGCAATTTAGACTATTTGACCGTATTTGCATCTAATCTTTGTCCTATTTCAGATGGGAAGGATATGGAAGTCTGTAATACTGGTAGTGTGGCCTGTATTAAAGCATCCCAAAGTAAGCATAACTATTACCATCCAATACTGATCTTGTAAAGGTGAAGTTTTTGCCTTTTTCATTTGAAAATAATTTTACTTCAGCATTTTAGTGAGTGTTTAAAAACAAAGCTTCATATATCTAAATAATTACATGTGCATTTTCAAGTATAAACGTTTAAATAATACGTTCATTAACATAATAATGAAAAAGTTAATTTTTTTATAGTTGGTATTCTATGCGCGTTTGGAAGAGGCAGTTATAAATTGAGAATTAGGTTATTTTTCACTTAACTTTTAGCCTCGTTATTTTACAATATGCTACCTACTCAGTTAGAGAATTGAACAACCCTAGTCTATTACAAAACCGACAATGTGATTTGATATTTTTTAAAACAATTGTTTCCCTGAGATAATTTAGTACTGTTATTTTTGTCGTCAATTGTAAGACGTCATGTCGTAAGAGCTTATTTGGATTAAGAAAAACAATCACGACGAAGAAGTGTCGAATTAACCCATAATCAAAATATTCAGTTATTTAATGAGTCAAATCTTAGGGGCATCTAAGCTCTTCTAAAAATAAAAACAAACGACAAAGAGGACGAATGTCTACTCGATGAAGATGTTTATTTTATATTGGTAACAACGCATTTGTCGAGTAGTGTAAGAATCATAATGAATTACGATAGGATAGAATATCTACTTAAATCTCGATTTGTAGATGTGTGTTTATGTTACTTTAGTGGAACTGGTGGTAGCCGATATAGAGTATGGTCTGAACCTTGATAACAATAACGATACGCTCGGCGAGGCGCGTACGATCGCTTCGAATTGCAAATGCCTCCCTGCATGCACCTCCATTGAGTATGAAGCAGAGACTTCACAGGCTGATTATGATTGGAAAGCCATTTATCAAGCGTTCCAATATCCTGTCCCTGAAGAAGAAATTGAGTAAGTTTTTGTATTACCCCAAAAAAAAACTTATAAACCTGTGTAGGTATACGGAATTCAGACTTTTTTTAAATTCATTCAAAATTTTATCGAATCCATACACTTTTTAATCGACTTCACAATCTAAAAGGAGGAGGTTATTTTTTTGACGGCGATGTGTTTTCTTTTTTATGTATGTTCATCGATATTTTCGTCAACTGTTGACCAATTTTCATAAATCTTTTTTAAGTCGACAGCTTGATGGACCGATATGGTCTCATTTAAATTTTATCGAAATCAAATAAGTAGTTTTCCTTTTATAACAAAATAAAATACGCTTTACAACAGATATCACCAAAATATTAAGTTATGACATGGCCAATTTCCGCTAAAGAACAAAAGATTGCGTATTTAGAATTCATTAATAAATCTGAAAGGAAGATTGATTGATTATACGTTCACTTATGCCACGAAACATTATTACCAATTCAAGGTTAAGCGGATGCCTCTTTTTGAAGTGAATTTGAACACCTAAGTGAATTCGATTTTTATAGCGGCAGCAGTATGTCCGGCATGCAACAGCAAAGTTTCAAATAACAAAAATGGCTTTGCGACTAACACTTCTATTGGTTTGAGCTGTAGATATATTTGGAATTTCAAATTTTGTAAATATAGTAACAATAATATTAGCATAATAGATAAACTACCAACTGTCCTAATATTCATTCTACGTGTTTTGTTTGAAGCCTAACGGTAGTATTATTTTTGATTTTTGTAAACCAATGTTTTGTTTTCTTTCAGTATGATGTATGCCCGCGTAATTGTTTTCTTCAAGGAGCCACAATTCATCACGTCTCGTAGATCAGAGCTGTACGGTCAGACAGACTTCTTGGCCAACTGTGGCGGTTTACTAGGTCTTTTCATGGGTTTCTCCATATTGAGTGTCGCTGAAATATTATATTTTCTTACATTACGGTGAGACGCACAAAATGTTTAAATAATAATGAAAAACTATGGCTACACCACCAGTAAGACAGTAATAAGGCTACTTCAGTTAATGGAAAATTTATTTGTATATCCGCCAATGAAATAAGAAGCTCTTAAAAGAAGACTATTTCAACGTCACTCTCCGTATGAAACAAAGGAGAAAGCAACGCAACAAGTGCGTGTCAACAGCTGCGCGCTGTGGCGCGGTCAACCTTCCGCAGTGCAGTCACCCGCACGCTCACCCTTGATCGTTAAACGACACGACATCGAAGAACTACGTGATTCTGTTTCGAAACGCATTTTTCTCCTGCAAGAAAAACTTTGACAAGATGGCAAACACGGAAGCAAATCCACCGCGCCGTCCACATCAAACGAAATCTCTAGCGTTGCACTCCCACTCAGCATACAACCATTCTGGCGCGATAAACCACGATTATGGTTCCCCGTTTTTGAAGCTGCAGTTGATGAGCTTTATAAAAACGAAGCCCAAAAGGCGCAGATGGTCATCGCCCAGCTAAACAAGGAAGATGTCGAGCTAATCTGCGACCTACTTTACACACCACCGTCTGAGGGCTATTACGCAGTCGTTAAAGAAAAACTCATTTCTGCATACAAGGAATCCGACAGCAAGCAGCAACCAGAGACCGAGCCAGTTGCTTCGTCGTATGAAAACGCTCGCTACGGGAAAAATCCCCGAAAAAACGCTACAGTTAATGTGGATGAATCATCTACCACCACACGTACGCTTGATGCTCGTCGTAAACGACACATTGGCCAAAGATACCGTACTCGACGATATTGCCAAACTCGCTGATAAGATGGTAGAACAAAACGAATCTTCGTCAGTATCATCTATCACAACGCCGATAGCAAACAAGAAAGATGAAACAAACATGCCAATTTTAGTTGACGAGTTTCACAAAATGCACACCGTGATCGCCGTGAAGAAAAAACAACCAATTACCGCAGCAGCTGCCACATTACCACTACATGCAACAAAGAAACGATCACAGGACGCGGTACGCTGCATTTCCGTCTCATTCACGCAACCGCTTCAGAGACAGATCCCCATCTCGCTCCCGACATCGTTCGACACAAGACAGCCGATCACCATCGCCATTTTGCTTTTATAATCAGCGTTTTGGATCTCAAGCAAAACGACGCACGACACCTTGCACGTATAACAAGAAATCGGAAAACTAAAACGAACGGTGGCAACTGCGGGAACTGGCGTTCCCGAAAATTCATACGCCTATTCGTTACCCACAAGAAAACGAATTTAAGTTTCCTGGTCGACACCGGAGCGAACATTTCAGTGCTACCTTGAACAAAAGGCCAAACAACAACGCCATTACCATTTCAACTGTATGCAGCAAATAACACTGTCATACCCGCATACGGCGAAAAAACGATTGAACTCGATCTCAGCCTGCACCGCCCATACAAATGGAGATTTATAGTAGCAGACGTATCAAAGCCAATACTGGGAGCCGACTTTTTAAAGCATCATCAGCTTATCGTCGACCTCAAAAATAGAAAACTTATTGATGGCGTCACCAACTTCAAGCACAGTATGTGGCGCGTAGCTGTTGACACGCACTTGTTGCGTTGCTTTCTCCTTTGTTTCATAAGGATAGTGATGTTCAAATAGTTCTTTTAAGAGCTTCTTATTTTATTGGCGGATAAACAAATAAATTTTCCATTAACTGATGTAGCCTTATTACTGTCTTACTAGTGGTGTAGCCACAGAGTAAATAAAACATTCCATCCAAGCAAGCCTACGACCCGATTTGAATTGCCAAAAAACCATCACAAATTTCTGTAATTTATACTTGTTGGGTTACTATTATGTTTGGATAAATTGAGTACAAAAGAATAACTTGATATTTATACGTTCAGTTTGATTGCTATTAAGAGACATCGGGCATCTGACATCCCAAAAAAATTGTGTAAAGTCAGCATTTATTACTGAAGTTTAACAGCAAAGACTTCTAGTAATTATTTGGTCAAAATAATTTCGTTTCATCAGTCCTCAGTCCTCCTACCGCATTCGATAATCCACGAATACTAAAATGACGATTTTTCATGTCAACAATCTCCACTCCGAGAAGAAGCTTGCCTGATCTATCAACTTATGAGACTGAAGATACTGAAGAACTTAGAAATTTAAATGCCGCACTAAACGCAAAATTGAAAATAGCCGACAAGGAAATCGAAAATCTGTTGTCAGAAAAGACTACTTTAGAAAAAAAAATGTCATGAAGGATTCTATTATAAGTAAACTAAAACAAATATATTGTAGAACGGTGAAGCTGATGATGAAACTCAAAATCAATATCATAATACACCAAAACTATGTGAAACATCAGCAGAAATAACGTCTCATACATCTTCAGTGGCAAAGAAAGACGATTCAAAAGATATGAAAAGTGATACACTGATTTTGAGAAGATGATGGAACAATAACGAAACCAAATGCAGTAACCGAAGACATACTAAGGAACTATTATAATGACTCAGATATATTAGTACTACGTGTTGGTGAAAATGATAAAAATCGATTGAAATTCATTTCCTATCTATATAATACTCGTACCTTAGAAAAATTACGAGGACACATTATTTTTAATAAATATCGCCAAAAATCCATATTTAAAAGAAAGGTGTCTAAATAATGAAATAGAACTTTTAAGTAGACTTTTCAAAAACTGTTATTTTATCAAAAAGCCTATGTATTCTGTAGACACCAATATACTTCAATTTTATTGTCAGAAAATAAGTTATACTTATATTAGATTGCAACTATTATCAGAATTATTTCTCGAGTTGTGGAGCTTTGATTAAACGTGGAGCCTTGGGGGTGGGTGGTGATCTACCTCCTAGTAGTAGTGTCATCGCCCAAGGTGGACCACCTTGGGCGATGACACTATGATGTCGGCAGAGAGATCCTTCAATGCGGTGGTGGGCTTCCTATGAAGCCGCCTGGTCTGCTACCACCCTCCTGTTGAAAACCGACGCTTAGCATCCTGATGCGTTCCGTCGGAGTGCAAGAGAACCAGTGCTGATGGGTGATGCTAAGCGGTCAGTAGCATTGTTCAAGAACGGTACTGAGCCTATGGTGGAGTCGTACTGGGTCAGATCGGTTTGGAGACTAGCGGGATCCGAAGCACGGTCTTGGCGTTGACCGACCGCAGTTAGTAGGGGGCCCAAGTAGTGCGCTAGCCACGTGCAAAAGGCTGCTCCGCCAACTTGCGAAAAATCTCGTGATGCGCCACCGTGCCAGCTGGCGACTGGACGGGAGGACCCGGTGGACATATTCGGGGGATCGGGCGTCCCCGCAGTCTCCATGTTGATTTTCCCATATGTTGGCTGTACTGTGGTGCTCCAGTTGTTCAATGGACTTCGCCTCGACTGTTAAACCATCACTCCAATCACACTCAAATTCATGGAAAGTCTAAAGGGAAAAAGGTTCAAACAATGGCTGCACTTCCACCCAGTAAAAGTGCATCTCTCTAACATCCGAGGGCTGCACTCAAATCTTGATTCGGTCCACCGCCACCTTGAAACCGAAAAGCCAAACATTTTCTTCCTAACGGAGACGCAGATAGCAACCCCGTCAGACAGCAACATCGCGCACGCACACACAGCGCGATGACGTCTGCTATAACTTCTCCGTGGCTTTGAAAAACCCGGTATATACGCCCTTTAGCTGTTAGTTGTTACTGGTGTAGAGAAACAGCTCTACGTCGGTTTATATCGATCGCACAGCAGTGACCAGGAGACAACTAGGCTCATTGAATACCTCACTGAGACGGCAGATGCGGCTATTCAAAGGTACAACGCAGCTGAGGTTCTGTTTCTTGGGGATTTTAACGCCCACCACCGCGAGTGGTTATACCCATTTGAAAAAACAGACCATGCTGGACGTGAGACACGCAAGTATGCATTGTCGTTAGATCTCACTCAGGTTGTAAATGAAGCAACGCGAGTACCGGACATCGATGGCCATACCCCCAACTGCCTAGACCTTCTGCTGACAACAAACCCCCACAGGCACTCTGTTTCGGTCTCAGCTCCACTGGCTTCATCAGATCACAGTGTGGTCAAATCTGTGTCGATCTCCTCGCCTCCAGATTTCAGTCCTAGGGGCATGAGGCGAGTTTGGCGATACAAGTCAGCAGAATGGGACGAAATGCGTCATTTTTTTGCGTCTTATCCTTGGCGACAAGTCTGTTTTTCATCGGATGACCCCTCTAGCTCCTGTAATGCACGTCGTTGACGTGATTCGGCAGGAATGGAATATTTTATTCCGTTCTCCGATATCTCACTTGATCACAGAACCCGACCTTGGTTTAATGCGGATTCTGCTCGTGCTGAAATGCGAAAAGAGTATGCTTACCGTGAATGGATTCAAGCTCGCGACCGTAAACTCGGAGCTCAGAGGGTTGGTGCGAGGAAGAAGTCCTTCAACTCGGCAGCCAAGGCATGTAAGAGAACGTCTCGTAAGGCACGTTTCGACCACGTAAGTCGCATTGGGTCCAAACTATCATCTTACCCTGCTGGTAGTAAACAATTTTGGTCCCTGTCTAAATCGGTTGAATCCAACTCCTGCCGTCCCAGTTTACCTCCTATGCTGAGGCCTGACGAATCGCTGGCTCATTACGCGGCTGAGAAAGTGAATTTGTTTGCTTCCTTCTTCGCGAGCAATAGGGATGACGACTGGGTAAAAAAAATGCAATTCTTTTTAGTCCGTCAGTCAGATAATAGAAAAATATTAGATACGTATTTTTTTCTACTTCAATTTAACAAGAAATAGCTTAGATAACAGGCATTAAAGTTGAGGAGTGGGGGCTCGCTACGTCACAGTTTAGTAGAAAACGTACCATAACGTGACGTCATGCGAAATTTCAACTTCATGTAACGCCGTAGTTTTATGATTACGAAAAAAATAAAAAAATACGTGTCTAATATTTTTTAAAACTCTACCTGACGGACAAACAAACAAAAATTAGTCGTCATCCCTATTCTCATTTGAATGCAAGCAGTGCAAGTACACCGTCCCTTCCTCACTGTGGCACGTTTATGCCACATGTCACCGTACACTGTAAGGAGGTTAGAAGAGCTTTGCAGAATTTGAATGTGAATAAGTTTGTGCGCATGAACTGTCTCCTATTTTAACACGACTGCGAAGCGGTTGCAATATCGCTCGACATCTCGAAAGCCTTTGACAGAGTCTGGCACACCAGTCTGCTGAGCAAACTTCCAGCTTATAGTATCACCGCTGACTTTTGCGACTGGATATCTGACTTCTTGAGCGAGCGGTCGATTAGTGTGGTCGTAGACGCATGTTCCTCGGACCTCAAGGAAATCGCCTCTGGAGTTCCTCAAGGGTCTGTTCTTTCAGCAACCCTTTTCCTGCTGCACATTAACGACCTGCTTATGCCCGGTATTGTTGGGTAGGCAGACGACAGCACGGTTGCAGAAAGATATGTATCTAATGCAAAAGCCAGCAGTGAGGACATTCGTATCCAGAGAGAGGCCATGGTCGAGCGGACTAACTCGGCCTTAAGTTTTGTTTCCCAATGGGGGGACAACAATTTGGTCAGTTTTAACGCCATCAAAACACAGGCGTGTTTATTCTCCGCCAAAAAGAGCCCTTTCACCTTGGCTCTTACTTTCCGTGGTACAACTGTAGAAATCTCTGGCGATCTTGATCTTCTTGGCATGAGGTTGTCTTCAGACCTCAACTTCGGTGACAGCATCGAAACGAAAGCTCAAACTGCGGCCAAAAAATTGGGCATCCTAAATAGAGTT